AGGCCAGAATGTGTGAGGATCCAGGACTCGACTGCTATAAATTCAAGCTCTGTTCTTAGACTACACCATGCACAGCTTTTGTAATGCAAATGGAAGGCACAAAGTGTTCCTTTGATAATGTGCAGTCAGGAGACAAAAAAAGCATTCACTGCAACAGTAAAACTAATTCATAAAGCTGAGAGACAATAGGAAAGCATTATGGATATTAAAAAAAATAGTAATTTCTCGTAGATCAACTTGATCATTAATGTAAACAGTTCAAATGCAAAACAGAAGGAGGTTGGCGAAGGGGAGAGACCCAAATGGCTGTGCTGCCACCTTAGCTAACCCTGGACAAGTTTGAGTAAAGCAAGAATTTAGAGTTCAGCAGAAAGTCAATGTACAGTTTGTCACTGGAGGGCTGATCCTTGGGCTTCATTCTGGATACTGAGTTAGGCTGTGTTTCTCTTCAGAAACAAGAAAATCACGGCGTTGGGATTGGTTTTTTCCTTTTTTTTTTTATTTTGATGTTTGAAAACACTTAATAAACACTCCTGGGGCGTAAATTTTAAGGGGGTGATTTCTCTTCATCACCTCCCAGAGTTTAGCTGAAGGTCATCTCACCTCGGTGCTCTAGGCTGAGCTCCGGAGGAGGCAGAGGGTTGGAGGAAGGGGATGAAAGGGTTTCCAAAATGCTTCTCCCGGCACTGCCACGATAAGGACAGCACTGGATGGTTGCCACAGGCTGCTCTAGCAGGGCATGCAGCCTTTCCCTGGGCATTGCTGCTGCTCTAGTCAGGCTGGTTGTAAAGCGGTTGAGGTGGTTCGGTGCCGTGAGGAATTAGCAATCCGAGGGGTGAGAAGGGCAGGATTATTTTCCCATATTTCTGGCACCATGAGGATGCACTGCTGTTGCAGAGGAGGAGGGGAGGCAGTGCTGTTGATGCTGGGTTAGAGATAAGATAAAGTCTGTCGCTGTCCTGGCATCCAGCATTTGCTGCCCGGGGTGGAAAATTTGAGGAAAGGAGTGCATTTGGACAAGGTGTAGCATTAAGAGACAACCTTGGATGCTTTCCATCTCTACCTCATGGAGACTTTACTCACCATCTGTAGTCAAAGGCTGTAGTAAAAAAATAACTCATTGTTTCTTTTGCTAAAAATGCTCTCAAGCTGCATTAAAAAATAGGCTTTTACTAAGGCTACCGATCGCTAAATACCATTCATAAAACAGTGATGAGAAAATATGATGGAAAGTTAAATTTTTCTCTCTGTCACTTTGATTTCTTTGTTACTGCTAAAATGACTGCTCTGACTCATATTTTGCATAGTTATTTTTACCTTTTCAAATGTTCCTTAACTGTTCATATTACCCTGGGCAAATCCCCCAGGGATAATTTTCATTTGCATGCAGACTTTGATGGTGTTATTAAGCAATCACTTTCTGTACTAAGTCATTATTAAAAGTAATACCACAGAGCCTCAAAAACACATTAATGGTGCCAAACAATCCACATTTCAGTGCTAGATTTATGGAGAGGGAAAAGCACAAGGTCTCATATCATTCAGTGGATGCTGCTCTATTGCTCTGTAGCAGCAGCAGGCTTGATCAGAAAATATCAGAGCCAAATTCAGAGCCCTTATCTGTTGTCAGCCTTATTTCTTTAAATGCCCTTTTTCTGGTTTTGGTTTGTTTTGTTTTTTTTTTTTAACCTGCCTGCTTTCTACTTTTTTTTCCCCTTTTCCTCTGGCCTTGGTAAGAAAGCCTGACTGCAGTCTTCCAGCATACACAAGCTGGGCTGGTTCTGGGAAGGAGGGTCAGCCTTCCCCTCTGTAATCACTGTTTTATAGCTTTCACTGGAGGTGTTAATGCAGATCAAATGGAAAACAGTCCAGCAGGAGTGTTACAGCTTCTCATGCTGCCCTGCATACGGTCCCAATCGTTAATTCTGATTATAAGACCTAAAGGTAATTCTGTTTGCTCTCCTAATGCATTGCAGCTCTCCCGGTGGTCCGGTGTCTCTTTTCTTCAATTCCCATCTTGATCAATTGTTTGCAAATAATTAAGCTTTTAAGAGATAATGGTAGGAGCTAATGTACACAACAAAGTAAAGGTCTCAAGTCACTGTTTATTGAACAGTTTGCCTTGATATCCCAAAGTGATCCAGAGTGATAGGTGGACTTGTCAGCTGGAGTCACTGCAGTGTTTTTAGTCATTCTTCCCTATATATTTATATATTTAGTAAAATTATGGGGTATCTTAAGTTGGAAGGGACCCATAAGGACCAAATCCAACTCTCTCCTCTTCACATGACTCCCTCAAACTTAACCATTTGACTAAGACATCTTTTATACATATTCATTCAAATATAATATAATCTATACACACACTATATATATATATATCCATATCTATGTGCATTTGTCTATATTCCTTTGAACAGCCATTAGAAAGTTTTCAGAAAACACTGGTCATTCTTGTGCAGGTGGAGTAAAGGCCAACAGCAACAGTGTTGATTGAATTTCCTATTTCTTCATAAAATGGCAGTTCTCAGGGTTTCCCTCTTTCTCTCTGTTGCAATGTGATGTCTGCCTTTGCCTGTGGCACAGGCCTCCCAAGCCCTGTGGGTGGGAATGCAACAAGGCTTTGAATGTTTTTATAGCAACCTAGCCTGTGGCACGCTGATTCTTTGTCAAGTCATTTCTATTATTTTTTTTATTGTCAGTCTACAAAGGAACAACTCGTATGATCCACAGAAAGCTTATATAATAATGTTGCTTAGTGTTTAAGATTACTTTAAACCACGCCAAATCATAGTTAAAAAGCCTGCTGCATTGTGACCCTTTAGCTAAGAGGGATTAGCTGTGTGAAATCCCAGGCTGTCATGTGATTATGGCAATTACAGATTTATCATGAAATTAAAAGTTTATGCTGTAGTAGGATATGAAAAAAAAATAATCAGATGACCTTAGACATACCACAATTTGAGGACTTTTTAGTTTGGGACTTTTAAAGCAATTATTTTTACAGTGACAATATTATTTTGATGGTTAATTTTATCCAGTCTTGTCTATTAAAAAAAAAATGTCCAGAACAATTGAAAATTGCTCAATGGAGACAGACTTCTCAATTCCAATAGCTAGAGGCTGTCTAGTAATTATTGCTTGCTGCATGAAATTAGACACAGTTTGTTCAATTACTTAAAATTAGATCACATGTAAGGTGGCAAAGCAAAATAAGGAAAAAAAAAAAAAAGACTAATTCTGTCCTCACTTGATAGCAAAGCAATGAAATGAGAAGTAAGCTGTAAAGATGAAAATGTTACAAATTATCTCTGTAGGGTTTGGGTTTTTTTCATTGAAGGGAAGAAAAATGTGCTCAGATAGATGGACATGAGTATGACTGTTGTGGATGAAGGCAGACAGTAAAATACATGCTGTATTTTTCCATGTGTGAAATGCAATTTTCCCATAAAAAGAAGACAAATCCCCTTCCCTCTGTTTTCACTTTAGAGTTCTGGAGCTGTTTCATGTACACACAGAAAATACAAGGGGTGGTTTTCAGGTGTGCAGGTCATCTGTGAGCTTCCTGTCAAGAGAGGAGTACTTTTAAAATAATTGAAAATTCCTCAACATTTTTGGGTGAAAAAATAGATAAAAAATCTCTTATGGAGCTGGTGGCTATGGTGGTGGGCTTTGAAATGGATGTATTGAGTTAAGAGAAGTTGCTGGAGTTGCAGTAAAAATCTCTTTTTGGTAATGTGAGGTGATACTTGCATGTAATACAGCCATAAGAAGTGAGACTATGCTGTTTATAAAAACATGTAAAATCTGCCAAATATCTATAATACCAGTAAGATTGTGGGATGTTATGAGGTTTAAAATTCTTAAGCTTTGCAAGGTTTCAGTTTATGTCTCATATGATATTACACCGAAGAATACATTCGGAGAATAAAGGAATTTTGGGGAGGAAAAAAAATGGATGAATGTTGTGACAATGGATGAATACTTTGTGACAATCCACTGCTAAATAGTTGGGATAGACTAACCAACCACCATATGATCTTTATTGAAATGATATTAAGCACCTTGCAGCAGTCCAGGTCTGAATTAGATATGAACTGAGTCTTGGGCATCCAGGTTAGGAGCTGAACCAGTTCCTCAAAACAGGACTTTTCCTTGAAACTGTTACATTTGCAATGTTTGGCCATTTCCTCTTGTGGCAGTGACATTTTTGCATAGATGGGAAGGACAGAAATGATATTTCTACATTTCAGACTTGGTTGTGGTTTTTGCTGTTGATTTATTAAGCAATCTGTATTCATGCAGAAGCAAATTTTCTGAGAAAGCAAATCAAGTTCTCACAAGAAACTTATGATTGAATTATAACATTATCTTCAATTAAAGGAGTATTTATTTTCTGTCTCTTAGGATTAGCTCAGCACAGCTATGCTAATGTCAGGCAAAAATGTGCTGATTGTTGACCTTGCATTGGCCTGTGTTCAAAACACAGGCATTTGTTTATGTTCAGGATGCTGATCTTATTTGCAAATTATTTTGGGGCACTGGCAAGTTTTGCCTTCACTATCTCAGAAAACATCAGTGTGTTTTAGTTTTACAGAGAAGTTCTTTGCCACATTCTTTGTTGTTCTGTTAAAAACAGAGAAAAGAGAAAAAAAAGATTATTCGACTCTAATTGGTCATTTGAGACAAGTACAAAAATTTTTCAGCTAATGCAACAAATATCCTTCTCAAGTATCAAGGTACTGTCAGTATCCTAAGCAGTTATTTCTCCACTTCACTAATCTTTATAATTGGCTTGTCTTTTACTGCCATTAATTAAGTGATGTAGTAGCCCATTAATAATTATAAAAGAGTGACACACCTCAGCATTTTCACCTTTCAATAATAGATGTCACGCTTCTGTTTTGGTTTGTTTTTTGGTTTTTTTTTAATTTAAAATAAAAAGTAGGCAAAAAAAGCACATTGTTTTAAATGTTTGTATTTATTTTGGTGTCTTATAGCACCCTTACCCTTCAGAAGAGCAGAAAAAGCAGTTGGCACAAGACACAGGGCTCACTATACTTCAAGTGAACAATTGGTAAGTAATTTTCCTTAGTGTTTCTACATGGCCACTGGCACCCTCTGGCTATTCCTTTGGGGACACACCTTGCCCTTGTTGTTCCCCTCCCCAAAAGTTTATTGGCACAGAAGGGATATAACCAGGTGAGTTTCAGGTTTCAGGTGTAGAAGGTATGAGGTTTGCTACTGTATTTTATTTTCCCATCATTTGGGCAGATCTTGGTGTATTCACATCCTCTTTCTGGCTGAGGATATCTGTTCTTGAGTAGGAAGGCACATCCATTTGCAGGACATTGGCCTTGGAAGAGGGGGGACATTGGTCTTGGGGACAAAACAGGGACAATTGGTCCCATTTCTGCTGAGCATATTGTTATTTGGGGCTGCTGTCCTGATTTTTATAGCGTAGTTAGAGAGGTTTTGTTTTTTGACTGACACCCTTGAATCTCTTTATCAGTTTGTTTTCAAAATCCAGTTTATGAATAAACTTTGAGGACAGTCTGGTTCTTTGCTGCTGAAGTACTGAATTGCTGGAACAATATAATTTATTTGCTTCAGCTAAGGGTTGGTGGAGCCCCTGTTCTGTTAGAATAGTGATTCATTTGAAGGAAGTCAGGATCTGTGCTGTTTCTGCAGTGGATTTTGGGTTGCTAACTGCTCAGGGTATGGTGAAGGCAATCAGTGAAAATTACTCATTATTTAAGTATCATACAGCAGCAAACCTCTTTTAAAAAAAGTTTGATTTATTACCCTTTGATACTGCATCAAAATGTGGGTTCCTCCCACTATCCCAGAACGAGTGTCATACTTGAAGTGTACTGCAATCTAATACCTTGTAAAACTAAGTGTATCTAATTAATTGTCCTAATATTTTTAGATTAGTGTTTATGATGGGAAACCTTATCCTCTTTGAAATAATACCCAGAAAATGGTCAAGGCAAACAGCAAGCCTGCTGGGGAAAAGGGAGGGAGGAATGCCAGTTTGCAGACAAAAGTTGGTTGTGTTTTTTTTTTTTTTTTTTTTCCTGTTCAATAAGTGTCAGAGATTAATATTACTGAAGCTCTGATTACATGGCCTAATCCATTTTAGTGAATAAATTTGGTCTTGATGTCCATTGCACCTACATTAACAAACCCTCCTCTCTTAGAGAGCGTAGGAGCCTATGGGAGAGATTTCAGATATATTAAACCCCATTACAGAAAATGTAATTTCTGTCAATATAATCCCATGTATTCTTCAATTTAGTACTTTAGAGATAACAAGCTACTTACAATATATTTGCCTTTGGAGGATTAATTTACAAAGTGCACTATCTGGGAGACGCAGGCGGGCTCACATAAGCATAGCTTGTAAGGGTTATCAATTTCTGTGACCCCACAGCAGCCCTGGGAGATCAATTTTTTGAAGCCCTTTAAGATGCTGAATAAAGGAAAATACCAAATACTTAGTGTATATGAAGTATGCTTCCAACATACTTAATTTAAAATGGAAGAATAAAAGGCATAAACCATAAAATTTACGTGTTATAAGGTAGCGTAACCCACAGTATTTTGGCTCAGCCAGAAAAAAATTTGTGTTTACTCCAACTTTCCATTCTCCAGCCTCCATCCAGGTGTTACCCTAATTTGTATGGCTGTCCTTCAGTTTAGCAATGGGTGCTTTGGCCCACTGAGAAGCTGTGGGTACTCATGGGTGGAGTGCAGGGTTCAACACAGACAAATGTGTCACTTTGGGATGGTCTGTCTAAAGAAATTTTTCAAGATGATGAACATAGGATGGCTTCAGCTAAAAGTGGTGGAATTTCTCCAGAGTGACCTTCAGTAAGGTTTTCTCTCAGTTTTCTTTTCAGGGTGTTTTTCAGTACATGTGTCTCCTCGAATATGAGGAGTTTTTACTTAGGGTTTGTGTCGGGTGTGTTCTTACAAGTTCCTCATCTGCAAAGAAAAGGAAAAAAAAAAAAAAAGAAAGAGGTCAAAATACATTATAACTGAAGTCTTGTGGATGTAGGGCAGACTTCCTCTACGTGAGCCAGTTCAGTATAAATTACTGTACAAATAATTTGTGGTGTTACAATTGTATAAATTGTATAAATTATTGAGACAATTCCCCTTCTCTCCCCTGAGGCACAATGATTTAATGGTATGGAGGCAGTGGGGCTTTCTTAAATCACAGGTGGTGGGCAGAGATGCCAAAATATGGCAATGCAGCCCCTGCTTTTTGTAATGGATTCTAAGGAACAAGGAGACTGTGAAGCTGTTGCTGAGTGTGCAGGTTGCACAGGAAATACCCAGCCATGAGGTGACCAGTGAGTTACTCATCCCTTCCCAAATCCTGGGGGCTTTGGAGCCACCTTCTCAAACATTTTCCTGGATCCCTTTTCTTCTAAAGCCATATGCACAAGAAACTCTTCCTACCTAAATGTTTTGCTGCAGGGAAGAGCTGACATATAATTTCTGGTTAGTTTTGCCTTTCTTAAGCAGGCTCATAAGTCATTCAGCCAGAACTCGCACACAAAAAAAATTTGCCTTCCTCCTTAGATTCTTCCAAACTTGTTAACACACATGTACATTTTTGTATTAATGATGAGTCATTGTAAATCACTGTTGCAGAGATTAAATAAAATGCTGAAGGGCAGGCTGGGTGCAGATCAGTCATAAATTATTGGCAGCAACACAGCATGTGGGAATACATGAAATGTGCATGAAAAACATAAACTCATGTCTGGTAGCATGGTCGTTAGCCCAGACTGGGAATGCTGGATTTTCTGGCTGGAATTAGAAGTTTGCCACAGACCAGTCAGTGAAGAGAGCATTTGTTTTCTGCAGACTGAAAGCATTTAAACATTTTTTTTTTTGTCATATTTTGAATGCCTTTTCAGTATGTGCTGGTTGCATACTTCAGTTTTCTGCCATAATGAAAAAAAATGTTGATTTTCACATATGGACTGCCCTGGTGCTGGGGCTCCCTGAGCTGATGCACATAACCCCTGTTGATGGTGGAGGAGTCACAGGAACGGGGTGATGGTGTGAGATGTGCCAGAAAAATATATCTGTGAAAGGGCACAAGTCTTTAAAAATACCACTGTCCTTTTTACCATGACCCTTTTCATTGGGTTGTTTTATTTATTTTTTTTTTAAGTAATGAAATAATCCACACAGAGGATTTTTCCCTTTTTTCCCCCTCTACATGACAACTTCACTTGTGAATCACCAGCATTGCCTTCCAGGACCATCTTTTTGCCTCAGTCAAATGTTTCTGCTGTGGGAAAAGGGAGCCCTTACCCTGCTGCAAAATAAAAATAAGGAAGGTAGGAAGATAGCAGATCTCAAATGTCATTAGTCTAAATGAACCATTCAGGTTTCTGTTGTATCAGTTGTTTAACCCCACAGCAGTTTAGGGTTCCAAGCACAGCAATATGAGCAAGAAGGGGCACTTGTGTGATGCCTGTATGGACATGGTGGAGACCTGAACAGGTACAGGTTAATAAGGTGCTGTTCCCAGGTGATAAAAACAATGAATTGAAATATCCAGGTGTGATCCAATCACTTCTTACCTCAGCTGAGAGCCAGTCAGGCTATATTGAACAATCTATACGGTTTTCTTGTTTACTACATCCCAGCTGAATCCCTTCCCATTAAGAGCTAATGGTAAATAATTACTGGTGGTAGTCTATGAAGAAGAGAGAGCAATTCTAATCAAGGGCTGCATTAGGTGTCAGATGCTTGTTTATGTTTTAGAAAAGTCTTGGTGCACACAGATAAGATGTTTGTATATTTGTAGAATAATGTGCCTATATAACCTCCCTATATGTGCATGTTTTTATGTGATTGTCTCTCTAAATAGTATTGCATCCAACTGCATTAAAATGATCAAAAAAAAAATAATTGAGAATTCAAATCCTTAATGCTCCAGCCTTTATTAGGTATTTCCATTCTGCTTTTTCCAAGTACTCTTGTGCTATCTAGGGCACAGCCCAGACAATGCTGGAGCAGCTAGTCAATATTTTATCTTGCCCTCATTCTTCTGTGCTTCGTTTGTTGAGCTGTATTCAAACCCTGCTTGAAGATGGAATTAATAATTACTGCTGGGCTTTCCTGTGGCACTCACTTACTGCTGTAATACCCAAATCCTTCCCTGACCTCCACGTGCCTATATATGCATACAAGGTTGTGGCTCTGCATGGTATTTTTACCCTGCAAAGAGAAAGAAAAATGTTGTCCTGGTTCACAGGGGAAGAAGTGAGGCTGATAGAGCTCCAGGTCCAGCACAGTCACAAGTTTTGGGTTGGTCTGGGACTGTGAGGTGACTCAGAATTACAGCAATTTGTTCTCATTTAGGGTCCAACGATCATTGAAACTTCACGTTCCATGGAAACTCCAAGTTTTAAGTGCCTTGGTGTCTTATATGTCCACTGCTGGGTATGGAGAAGTGAGAAATCAGTAACTTGTGGTGAAAGTTTTGTGTTCAATGATTTACTCAGTAGCCCTCAATCAGTCCAAGGAGGCAGCAGAGCTGAACCCTCTCCTCCAGTGCAGCTTTTGGCTGTGTGAATCAGGACTGGCTTGCTTTTCTTCCTGCCTGAGTCATTCAACTTTGTCAAAGTTTATTACCTGTAGAGATGCTTTTTTTATTATTATTTTATAATGCCCTGGCCTGTTCTTGTAACAGACATAATTGTCATTGGGATGCTTGAGGCAATGAGCCCTATCAAAAATGGTGGCATGAGCTGGTAACTGAGCTGTAATGAAGTACATTAAAGCCCAGGGTGCAAACAACCCTAGTAATATGGTGTCCTAACCCTTGAGTTCTTGATTTTGTACTCTTGGCTTCTTTAAATGTCATTTTTGTATATAATTTCCTAGGCTTGCAAAAAACCTCAGAACAAACCCCAACCAAACATTTCAGAAAAAAAATTATCAAACCATGTGATCAAAAAATGTCCCTAATCTTATTCTTGGAGTCAGATGAAGTGGATTTTACTGAAACCTTGTAAGAAAGACGTTTCAAAGGGGCTCCAAGAC